CACATTTAATTAAGCTCCATGTCAGTTTGTGTGATTTTGTCGTAAATACATATGGTTTTTCTCATCAATCTTTTTTTTTTTTAGTTATTGCCCTAGATTTNCTAATCAATAAAATATGAATCCTTTTTTTTTTTCATGTAGGAAGTGTAAAGTACAAAATATGAGAAATATGTAATTTTTCCTATGTATATATAACCATTTTTTCTTCTTCTCTTTAAACTTTATACATGTTACTTTTATGCATTAAAATAACTCTTTTGTAATAAAAAATACTGCAAATTGAGAAAAAAATCCAAGCAATCACATGTCTACGATAGTTACTCTACTGGATTTGCCTTTTCTTTTTTTTTAAAAATTACGTCCATCATTTGCTCTTTTGAACATGAGAAGTCTTACAGTCCAATATAACAAAGAAATATCTCCAGGGGCGGAGAGCGTCTTGAAACTAGAAGAATTGCGGGCCTCCTGGAGGGCAGAGCAGTTCCATAGATGCCCGCCATTCATATGGGCCCTATTTGTACATAGAATACAGTTAGGAGAGTCAGAAAGACCAACACGGTGTAAGTGCGCTTGTAAGTAATCGTGCCCTGTCAACAATCGGAAAGATGAAACAACGATAGCTCTAGGGAGATTTTTCGGAAGACAGTATGCCAGAAGGCTCTCCCAAGGCTTTCCAGAAACTTGCTCTCTGTTGGAAGAAACCTGTAGACTTCGAAGCTTTAGCTTCACAATTTGTTTAACATTTCTCAAATTTGTGGGCGACACAGGGGGCTCCAACAGAGATGCCTCTTTGGCAAGGCTATCAGCCTTTTCATTACCTCATAAGCCACAATGGCTAGGGATTCATTGGAGAGTTATCTCTTTTACACTAGACAGAAGAGCATTAATAGTGTTTTTACAATTGAATTCAATTGCTGTAGGGAGTAGAACATATTTTGAAACAGTGTGAATTGCGGCCTGGCAGTCGATGAGGAGGACAAATCTATTTTCAGGTCTTTCTAATATCTTTTGGAGAGCCAGGTATATTGCGAACATTTCTCCATCGAAATTATCAGAGTTTGAACTGAGTGGCTTTTGAGTTGGAAAAATCTGAAGAAAGCACCTGAGCCTGCTCGTCGAGAAGCTCTCTCAGCAAAGCCATTGGTGTAGATGTGGAGCCACTCATCGCTGGGGTATCTGTCGTTGATGGTGGCAATGGCAACAGCTTTAAGTTCTGCTTGAAGGGAAACTCCCTTCCGGACGGGAAGTACAAGGTCAAGAGCTGGAGCTGCGTATCTCATCATTCCCGGAAAAACTGATGGTCTTAAAAAGGGGATTCTAGCACTCGAAATATCCAAGGAGTTTGAGTATCTCTGAAATTCCGATAGAAAGGTATGCTGAGTTTTCAGTCACTGGTCACTTGGGCGATACTCAGCCCAGAAACCATCCTTACGCAGTAATCTTTCTCCAAGAGCTATAGCTGCATAAAGTCTACTACCATGTAGAGAGTCAAGGCCGGTCTGTAGTTCTATAGCAAGAACAGGCGCTGAAAAAGTGCCCCCTGTAATGATCCTCAGGGCATTGAAGGCATCAACCAAATATACAGTGTAAAGTCGCGTATCCGGAATCGGTGGGACTTCCAGAAGTCCGTATAATAGATTTTTCCGTATAATAGACCCCCAAGGTAAACAAAGCTTAAAATGATTTAATAAACGATCTGAATCTAAGAAGCAAAAAATAAATAAACGTTATTTTTAAGGGGAACAATGTTTTAGCATTAGAATATCTAAATCAAATATAAAATATTAGAAAAAAAATATTATTGCTGAAAATATGGAAAACGAAAAAAATTTAACAGTTATGAAAATATTAATCCGCCATTTTGAACTAGAACGATTCAAGCAGGAAGGGGAAATTCATGTCATTCTGGAACAAAGCTTAAAATGATCTAAATCTAAGAAGCAAAAAATAAATAAACATTATTTTTAAGGGGAATAATGTTTTAGTATTAGAATATCTAATCAATAAAATATGAAATATTAGAAAAAAAATATTATTGCTTAAAATATAGAAAACGAAAAAAAATTGACATATGAAAATAATAATCCGCCATTTTTAACTAGAATGATTCAAGCAAGAAAGGGAAATTCCCGTCATTCATTAAGGTGGGTAGGTGGAGGAGAAAAATTCATTTCCTCCTTATTTGTGAAAGAAAATAAGTGTAAAGAGGAGATCATTTAAGTTGAGGGTGGGGAAGTAACAAATTATTGTTTTCTCTCCAATCATTGGCTATCAATCAAGCATAAAGGCGGGGCACGCTGATCGGGTTCTCTTTATTTTTTCTTCTATGACTGAAAGAATCTGCTAAAGAAAGAATGTTACCCCCTTTTCCCCCCGCCTCCTAAATATTACATGGTATGGGGAAGAACGAATGTTTTGTTTCTCAAGGACGTGTATCCTTTTAGACCTATTCAAATTTTCCATTTTGACTCCCCCTCCACCTTAACGCTTGCCCTGTTTACCCTTTTCCACAGTATTTCTTCTTTCAATAAAAAGGTTCCAGGAAATGCCTCTTTTACTAGCCACCTGCATGGGAAAGGAGGGGGGGGACTCAGTTGCGGTCTATTGAAAGCAAATCTCCCTCTTTTTCCTACATTCCAAGGGAGGAGCGTCACTAACGGTCAGTCAATGGTCTTGGTAGATCTTCACTTCCCCTTTCTGGTGATTTATGGGTTCGATGCCTAAAAGAGAAAATATGTCAAAAGACTTTTTTTTTCCTTTTTTTTTTTAGGGAAAGGGGATGATGGAGATATGTTTGTTTATTTTGATTGTTAAAAAGTGTCCGGGAAGTCGACCCTTCCGGGAAAGGGACGTCCGGATATGGGACGTTACACTGTAGTAGATTTACCATAAAATACCAATAAAGTGCCCCCTAATTTTGACGAAAATCACTGTGGTGTCAAGGGGGGCGAATATACGATACTGAAGAAAATGCAAAGCGCCATTTTAAAAAAAATCTATATTTGGTTGAGCGTTATTTTTTGTGAATCACAAAATATACTGTAAAATTAATCATTGCAAAAGAAAGTAAATATAATCTTTAATCATTAAAAACATACCTTTGCAGCAGTCCTCTATTTTTAAATTTCAGTGTGATTGCTGCACATGCAAATAGGTGAAAAAATAAAAATATATGGCAAAATATTTCATAAAAAGAAAATTATTTTAATCTCTGTGAACAGAGCATGTCCAGTTTCCACCCTCCCAAAGTATTAAGATTTTTCTTGCCCCTGTTGAACAATTCTAAGAAAGGGTAATTCCCTTTTACTCCTTATCTCTTCCACTCAATTCAAATCCCTTTCAATTTATATTTTGGAGAGTGATGCCCTTTCTTTTCTACTAAATCTATTACATTCAACTCTCCCACCACACCTTAAAATTTTCCCCATTCTTACCAGTGGGTGTACATACCATTCAAGGCGACCTTGACCTACATGCAGCTGGGAGAGAATGTTGACCATGCCTTTTCTCCTATCTGAAGAAGAGAGGGGATCTCTTCCCACCACATTTAACAAACATCTGCACTTTTGTTAGCAATCTTCAATTCAGTGACTGTGATTGATTATCTACCTTTTCCCCCCACTAATTGTTCATTTAGTCTAACACTAATCTTCTACCCTAAACATCAGGATAACTATTTTTTAGAAATAAATTTTATGAATTTATTCTTAAAATAAGAACTTTTTAAAATTGTGTTGTGGAGAAGGGGTGCTTTTTTGGTACTGATTGGCAATCTGTATTTATGTGAATCTGCATAAAGAGAGATTTATCGGTATTTTACGATAAGTAATCACTTTTGATTCGTACAGTTCCAGACTATTCCATCGTGAAACAGTGCCATATCCTGATTTTTTCCACATCATCTTTCAAATAGCTATATTTTTTATACAATATCATTATAAATGCGAATTTTGAACCTGAGTAATGACTTTTTTTTTTTTTTTTTTTTTTTTTTGAAATAGTTGCCAAGTTTTCTTAAACACTTATCATACCTTACAACTAGATTTAGAATACTCTCTTCATAGTGACTTGCCACCACTCCGATAACCACTTCATAGAAGAGCCTATATTAATTGATAAAGTCATTACATGTGACAAAACCTGAATTTCTCTGTACGAACCTGAAACTAAACCTCAGTCCCTGCACTGAACGACCCCCACCCCACCAGCGGTCAAAAAGCTCGAATAAACAGGTTATAACTAAGTCATGCACATCATTTTTTTAGATATTAATAGTATTGTCATGATAGAATGGGTACCTCAAGGCAAAACGGTAAACCAGCAGTATACATTGAGGTCCTAAGAAAACTTAGAGAAAGAGGGAGACCAGTACGTGGATTTTGTACCAAGACAACACAGCGACTCTGAAAAACAGTTTTTGCGAACTAACGCATTATTGTGCTCCATTTTGCACCATGCAAATTCTGCCTGTTTCCAAAAGTGAAATGTGCATTGAAGGGAAAACATTTTCTGCTTGTAGAAGAGGTAATGGCAATCACGGCAGATTTTCTGAAGATGATGTCATCTAATAACTTCTAGCACTGCTTTGAACTGTGGAAAACTCATATACAGCTGTATTGATTGGGAAGGGGAGTATGTTGAAGGGGATTGAAAGGTATTTGTATAATGTTTTCCATAAAGCTAATTAAGGCTAGTCTAGTTATCTAACTGTCACACCTCATGCATTGCAAAAAAGTAGCATCTACAGTAGTTTCATTGCTTGTAACGCTCTAGTTCATACTATTGCATGAATGGACAAAGATACTTCCTTACTAAAATTTTTCACAGTGGATAATAAAAAGTATTCATATTTCATAATTATTAATTTTAATGTGTTTTAGTGGATATTCATATTAACTTAGTTATTCATGAAACAAGTGTTAATTTTTTATGAAATATCGTTTTCCAATGATATTTGAAATTATTGATAAGGAGTACCTATATATTTTCATTTATTTTAGAAAATTTCCTAATCCTGGTTCAGTATTTCTTCATGCAAGCAAATTTCATGTTCCAACTACTAATGAGGATACAATTTGTCTTTGGGAAGGCTGTGATTCAATGAGAAGGAAGCGTTTTTCCCTACTTACACATTTACAGGTAATTGTTATATTTTTATGAAATTTTTATCTTGGAATCAGAGAAAGACGTTCTCACTTATTTAAAAAATTCTTCAGCCCTGATAGTTTATATTTATCACCTAACCTGTTTTTTTTTTCTTCTTTAAATTTTAATTGCTTTACATTTACATATTACATCAAGCGTAACATATTTCCTCTGATTTTAAAACAATTTTTTTTTCATCGAAACTTCTTTACAGTAAATAAAAATCATTTATTATCTTCTAATTCAAAACCCTTGTCATGTAAATGGAAATCATTCTATTTTTAGAGATTCATTTACATGTGTGTTAATTCTTACGCATAAACTCAGAACCGTTTCAGGGTTACTTCATGACGCATTATTGTGATCCCCATGGACATCACAAACAGGGAGTTCAAAAAGTCTGCACCTCCTCAATATTTGTGGAGTCAGAACCCGAAAGTTTGAGAAAAACATTATTTTTGGTTTTATTTTCCATAAAAAATGAAATGCTTTTTTTTTTTAATAAAAAGATTTTTTAATGTAAAAAAAGGCAAAGATGTTTACAAAAAGGAAATGCGTCTCGTAAAAAAAATAATAACTGCATCAAAAATTAACAAAATAAGTGTTTACAAAAATACTACAATTGTTACGTCACTCTAACCTTTCTTTCAAATGAGCAGCAATAAAATGCTCTCTTCACTGAAAAAAAAAAATTTAATGCAAAAAAGAATCCTTTCACATTACCTACTTTACACCACTCACTGAGCTCTGATCCTGCTAAAAAATGCTTCATTGTACACACGCCTAATTTTACACTATGGTAAAATGTCATTTGCTTATTTAAATGACCTCTTACTTATCTATAGCCTGAAGCTTTTTGGTCTTTTTATCAGATTTTTAGAAACATCTGATAAAGTATTAATTTCTTCGTCAAATTTCTAGCATATATTGTCTCTAACAGACTGATCTAGAAATTGTACAGAACAGCTTTCATTGAGGATGTAAAAATAGGGATTCTTCAAATGTCATTTTTGAATAGGGATATATCTGCATTGAGGTCTAAAGACTTTCTCTGTGTCACGGGTCACTAATACCAATGAGACATTCAATTTTATTGATTTATTTTTTAATGTTTTCATTCTCCCTAAGACGCACTTTTTGGTCAAGCTAACAAGTAGCTAAAATGTCTAATCATTGTGCTCAAGATAATGTGCCCGGGCATAGTCTGTTCATGACGCTGTATTGGTTAAGTATACGATTTGTATTTTAAAAATTTCATTTAATATAAATGCCTCTTTTGTTTGCTTTTATTTTCAATAATCTTTATTTGCTTTTTATATCGATCCAAAAAAAATTCTGGCTTTTAGAATTCTTATTTTTTTAGTCTAGATGAAATTTTCATCAGTTGTAAAAATGCTTAAAATTAAACAATTCCTCTGGAAATAAGCAAATGTTTATATTTAAACAATTTATGATTATGTAGATGTTTAATATTTGGACCGTATTTTATGATAGGATTGGATTGTGCATCAAGTTACATTTTTTTTTGTAAATTAAAATTAGCTAATTATTTTCTATTTAACTCTTGAGTTTTTATTCTAATTTTATATACTTTTAAAACTGATGCAGCTTTATTAAATTATAAATCAAAACGTCAAACTACAAAACTAACACAATTTCGTTTTCCTTTTAAAATGAAATTTTTATACATTATTTAATTTTATAAAAAATATGAAAAAAATTCTTTGTTAGCCGAGAATTTCTAAAATTGGTTTATAATGATTAGCATTACATTTACCTTTTAACTAGTAAAACTTAAACTTTTTATGATAGTTCTACTTTATAAATCTTAAGTTTGATACCTCCGGGTCACATAAGTAGTATATTAGCATAGTATGGGACCCCTAATCCGGCAGGACCCGAAATTCAGCACTTAACTTGATCTTTTTTTCTTTTTTTAAGGAAATTTTTATTAGTAAGAGAAAAAAAAATCAGTTATATTATCTTTTTATTTGAACTTTTATTCTGTTGAAGTAAGTAACTTTATTTTATCTTTTAAAAATAAAACAAAAACATGAAAAAAAATCTGTGTCAAAGCAAACATCTGTTTCTAAAGCAGTTTAAAATAAAGTGAAAGGGAAAAGTAAAAACATCTGCATTTCCAAGGAACAAAATAAAGAAAAGCAAGTTGGAAGAGACGGATCAATCAATCTTGACAGCTGTGCAAATGCTTTACTGGTCTGTCCCTACATTTCACTCTCTGGTTTGACCATAAATTAGCCACACCCTTTTGACATTGAAACTACCACTTGGGGTACAAAAATAATTCTATCCCTTTTGTAGCTTTTATTATTCGATGTAAATTATACTCATTTGTTTTTTTATTAGTTATTAACTGTTAAAAATTTGTTGTTGTTTTTTTTGTTAATTAATAGTTTTTTTAATTGTATTTAGTTGTTAGCTTGTTTTTTTTATCGTTACTAATTATTAGCTCAAAAAATATATCTTGTTATTTCTATTATATCGATTATTATTTTAATTATTCATGGTGCGTAGCATTTTTGGAAAGTGCTTGTTTTGTTTTCTTTACCATATCCATTTTCGCCATGTGTTATGCAAAAGCCTGCTTTTCATATTGTTCTATTCAACGTTTTCACAATTACTTCAACCACAATCTATTTTGGCGAACCGTTGGTCCGTAGCGTATGACAGCACCAATAATTTTACATGTTTGATGAAAACTTGAGAGTCCGCATATGTGTCTTTTGAGCTGGGTTTGGTGAGATTATTGCACTCTCATGTGCAACTCTGCTGCATTTTGCAAGATAGTGTCACTTTTAGGCTTCATTTTCCACTCTCTGATACCGAACCGAAAAATCTCTTGATCATTTTATATTGACCAGTATAATCAAAATAGGAGTTCTTTGTCAGAAACTAGTTATTTTATCGTGATCATGTAAAATCTGAAAATTATTTTGCTTTTTGTTTATGTATATAGTGCTTAAAAGGTGCTTATTTCTTGTTGAAAGATTTGGCTATGCACCCTGTTATTGAAATTTCTTAAGGTGGGACAGTTTTAAATTCACCCCATCATAATCTACTATCAAAACTTAACTAAATTTATTGTCATTAATTAATTTTCTGAAATTAACAGTATAATTGAATTATCGTAGTATATGGGCACCATATTGGAATTTCCAAAAGAGATCTGAAATTCGGCAAATTCCAAAATGCTGAATTTCATCTGTCCCGTGAGTGCCAGATTTGGGGTCCTATACAGTATATTCAGTAATCATTTTCACAAGAGCTATTCAACTGATTTTATTCAATAAAAACTGATAGATGCTTATTAAAATTTAGTTTCTGCACGGATTTATCTTTGGATAAACAAATTTCATAATTGTGTTCAAAAAGTTTTTGATTTGCTTAGACAACCTGAATAACTTTTTTTCCTGAATTATCAGGTTTTCACTAGTCTAACCTTAAATATGCTAATTAGTTCAAACTATATTTTAAGTTTTAAAATCAGACACAGAAACACACTCTCTCTCTGAACAAACATACTCTTTTCTTGGGGTAATCAGATTCATCAAAATATACGGGGTAACCACAATCTGGAGGAAAAAAATCTGAGCCTCCTAAAATTAAATTCATTTTTTGCATACTATTATTATGCTCGTTCATACAAAGTTTGCATTTTATTATTTTATTTAATAATAGTAAAAAAATTTAGTATTATAAGACATAGAATATTTACATAATCTTGAAGTAGTAATTACAAATGATAAAATACAAAAATAACTGTTTATTTAATATTTATATATTCTGAAACTGTGTTTTAAAAGCAGTTATTATGGGACAAGATAATAAGATGTTTTGTAACTATAAATTGATAGTGTTAGGAAATGATTTAGAAGTGAGTATATTTATTATTTATGTCATATTTAATAAAAAAAGATATTCTTATCAACATATACGTCTTTCAGCATTTTTATATTTAAATGGCTGCGCATCATGTTCATCGACTCCAGAATTGCTCCTTTAGAGCATTTTGCAAATTTCAGTGGTGCACAGAGAGGTTACTGTAACAGCTGCAAAAAATCGAGAATTTGAAGTTTTTTAATTTTTGATTTCTTGCCGAAAAATTAAAAAACTGTAAATAGGAAATTCTTAATTGAAAATCCAAATCTTTAAAAATTTAACAGAGGTTGAATTTTATACTGATAAAGATTTAAATTAGAAATTTTTAAAATTTAACTGTTAATGATAGGTAACGTAGTTGAAATTTATATTTTAACCCTTTTATAATGTATCATACATACGGCTACTTATTTAGGTTTCAATATTTGAAAAGTACGAAAAAAATTATAAAAACATAATTCCTTTCAACTAGTTCTGTAGATTATTTTAATTAAGAGAACATTTTCATTAAGAATTACAGTGGAAAGTCATGTATCCGGAATCGTCGGGACTTCCGGAAATCCGTATAATAGATTTTTCCGTAGATAGATTTTTCTGTATAATAGACCCCCAAGGTAAACTAAGCTTAAAATGATCTAATAAACGATCTGAATCTAAGAAGCAAAAATAAATAAACATTATTTTTCGCGCAATAATATTTTAGATCAAAAATAAAATATTAGAAAAAAAAATATTGCTTAAAATATAGAAAACCGAAAAAAGTTTGGCAGTTATAAAAATATTAATCCGCCATTTTGAACTAGAACAATTCAAGCAAGAAGGGGACATTCTTGTCATTCATTAAGGTGGAGGAGGCAAATTCATTTCCTCCTTATTTGTGAGAGAAAATATGCATAAAGAAAAGATCATTCAAGTTGAGGGCGGGGAAGTGACATATTATTATTTTCTCTCCAATCATTAGCTATCAATCAAGCGTAAAGGCGCGCCATGCTGATCGGGTTCCCTTTATTTTTTCTTGTATGACTGAAAGAATCTGCTAAAGAAAGAATGTTACCCCTTTTTATTCCCCCGCCTCCTAACATGGTCTGGGGAAAGAAAGAATGTTTCTCAAGGATTTGTATCCTTTTAGACCTATTCAAATTTTCCATTTTGACTCCCCCTCCACATTAAGTTTGCGTGTTTACCCTTTTCCACCATATTTCTTCTTTCCCTAATACTTTAATAAAAAAGGTTCCAGGAAATACCTCTTTTACTAGCCAGCTGCATGGGGAAGGAGGGGGGAGGGTAATCTGTTGCACTCTTTTGAAAACAAATCTCCCTCTTTTCCTGCATTCCGGAGGAGGAGAGTCACTAATGGTACTGGACGGTCTTGGTAGATCTTCTCTCTCCCTTTCTGATGATTTATGGGTTCAATGCAAACTAGAAAAAGAGAAAACCTGTCAAAAGACCTCTTTTTTTCTTTAAGGAGAGGGGAAGATGAAGAGATGTTTGTTTATTTTGATTGTAAAAAAGTGTCCGGTAATTTGACCCTTCCGGAAAAGGGACATCCGGATATGGGACGTTACACTGTATTTCTAACAGTAGAAAAAATTTCTAAAATTGGTTCTCTCTCTCAAACAAAACACTAGGTTGAGTAAACTGTATGAAGAGCATGAGAAGAAAATTTTTAAAATTTCACTCTATTGATTTAGATAAATTCACTGCCCTACAATAATGGAAGAGACACTTTCAGTTTTTAGCATTTCTTTAAAATTTCTCAAAAATACAGAAGGTTTATTTTGTAACTTTAGAGCTGTTTAGTTTGTGTGATTTTTCATACTTAACAATAAAATTTTAAGCTTTTAGAGTTTTAAGAGACCTGCAATAAATTACAAAAGAAAACAAGTATTTTTGAACACTCTATGCAGAAAATTAAGCAATAATCTTGAAACTTGCAATTGATTGCTTTAGTTGTTATTTATAATAACTGCATAAGGTTTCGTAAACTTAGAGCAAATATTTTTAGAAATATGGACATTTTATAAAAAAAGTTTTTTTTTGGTACTTCATAGATATTTAATGGAATTAAGCAAAATTTTTGGTGCAATTTAAGATTAATTACAAAATTGCCGATTTAAAAAAAAATCGTTAAAAACTGCTCAAAGTTATAAGTATTTAAGCTAATTTAGAAATAAGGCTTTTATCATTAGTTGTCAAATATGATTCTCTACAAAATTATGAAAAAACGTTTTAAAATTTTTTCTGCTCCTGTGCAGTATAAAAGAACTAGCTTAAATACTCATACCTTGCTCAGTTTTAATAATTTTTTTTTTTTTAATTTTAAGTCAACAGCTTTGTAATTAGTCTTCAATTTCTCCAACAATTTTGTTTGAATAATTTATGAAGTTATAACAAAAAAACATAAGGAGAAAAAATTATTTTTTTTTATAAAAATATCCATATCTCTATAAATATTTACTCTTGAGTTTACGAAACTTTATGTAACTATTAAAAAATAACTAAAGTAATTGATGCAAGTTACAAATTGATTGCTTGTTTTACTGGCATAGGGTGTTAAATACTTGTTTTCTTTCGTAATATATTGTGGGTCTTCCAAACCTCTAAAAGCTTTCAACCTTGTTGCTAAGTATGAAAAATGGCATGAACTAAACACCTCTAAAGTTCCAAAATAATCCTTTAAGTATTTCTTGAGAAATTTAAAAAATTGTCAAAGAACTGAAAGTGTCTCTTCCATTTTTATAGGGTAGTGTATTACTATCGTTTCCTTTAACTAATAATCCAATAGATTCTTTTTTTAGGAAAATAGACCCTATAGCAATGTTATTTTCCAAGAAATTTTTTTTAAATATTAAAGGAATTTTTGTTAATCTTTCAGAAATATATAAATGACTTATTAGACTTTAAATATTTTAAACTAATTTAAATTTGTTTTTAGAACAAAAGGCCATTGGGATATTTTGTATTTTTTAACATTATTTTTTACAAAACTGTATTTTAAGTTACCAAATCAGACACAAAAACTTACTTTCTCTGAATAAACATAACTTTTTTTTGTCGGATACAGATTTTTGGTCCCCAAACTATAGTAGGTAGCCTCAATCTGGAAAATACGGCTCCAATAGTTTGGTTAGGGAAGCGTTGCTAAGTTTAAAACACTTAATGTTAATTTTACTGTTTGTGTATTTCGTTATATCTTGAGAACTCTTTAAGCTAATTAAAAAAAAATTTCACAATTATACAATTTGTTTATCCAAAGATGTTTTCGTTTATCCATGCAAAAATAACCTTTATTAAATATTTATTATTTTTTTATTATTCCATTTAATAATGGTCAAAATAATTTTGAATTGTAAGGTTTACAATTTTTTGCATCATTTGAAAGAATATAATTTTACATGGCAAATTACAATATTTGAGCAAAATAGTTCAAATAGTTTTTGAGAAATTGAATTTCAAAAAATCAGATATTTTAAATTAGATTTCTCAGAAACAATACGACCAATTTTGCTCAAATTTTGTGTTTTTGACAACAAAAAAAAATTTCTTATTTATTTACATTTACTTGTTAGATAGCTTTAAAATTATCGATTTGAATTTTAGAGGGAATGAAATGGAATAATCGGGGCTCATATGATGTTTTAAGGAAAAAGAACATGCTTAAAACTTATCTATACAGTGAATTAAACAATCCTAATTACGAAAAGGCGAAATTAAACTTATCTAAGTAGTGTATGAAGTCCTCCTTTGACAAGCACTCTGTTTACATCTAACCTCTATTCAAATAATGTCTCAATTTTTTTGAAGACGAAATGTTCTGACTTTTTTCTGCCAACTTTGAGTCCTACAACTATTATAATGAAAATTATTCCAAAATTAGGTTTGAAATTCTTCATATGATCAAATACATGTTTAGTTTGTTTCTCTTTTACCTGCTCATAGTATTAAATAGTGTAAAATTCAGAAAACCAGTCTTTTAAAAATTCTACATTGGTCTGCTCTTATAAATTATCATGAATGTCATTTTTCAAATGAATCATTTAATATTTTCTTAATTTGTTAGGAATATTTTTTAACTTAGACAAATAAATTGCCTTTCGGCCACAAAATGTTTCATTGTTGAAAGCTGAGATATATTTGAAGCTTGTTGTAGTGAATAGTATGTCATGAATAAGAAATTCTGCATTTTGGGATAAAATTTATGCTTTGAGTTAAAGATTGAAAGTCTTAAGCAACAAAAAATGTTGCTGCACTGTGCCAGCCTTGTAAATTATACAGTTGGATTTGTACTTTTCAAAATTCTGAATTTTACTTTTTTCTTTCAGGAATGGTCATTTTGTTATGTTTGCACTTCCTTAGTCTGCATTTTAATATTGATTTGTAAGCAAAATTGTTTAAATTAGATTTTAATTCAGAAAAATGAAAATTTTATCAAAGGTAATATGAATTGGTCAAAATTAGAAACTTAAAAATTCCTTAGCTATAAATTTGAAGAATCCTTCATCAGTTTAGTTATATTTATGCTATTTAGATACTTTTGTCCAGGAAAATTATCTAATAAGTTATTATGACTAATTTGGGTTGTTTTATGACATTGAAGGGATAACTGCTTAAAACTTGCATCATCAGGAAATATTTAAGTTATGTTTGTTTCACATTATCTTGCTGGTTTATATGCTTTTGTTTTATTTTGTTTATTTAATTATTTTGTTATAAGGAATGTTAATTTAATTATGTTCTGTGCAGGCATGAGTTTATTTTGTTTTATATTTTTAGTTTTTAAGCTAGGAAAATCTAAATTTTATGTTTATATCTGCAGGACTGGCATTGTAATGAAAAAGTTCTGCATGTTGAAGCTTTGAGGAGGAAGCAGTTATCCCAGCAGGGAAAAACAACTATTTCACCACCTCAAATGCCTCCCCCACATCCTGGTTATGCTCCTGATGCTGCTTTCTTAGCAATAAGGAGGCATGCCCTTCAATATATCAATCCCAAGGAGCTTTCTGTGAGTTTAAAGCGCTAAATTATTTTGTAACTAATTTTTTAGAGTATCTCTCTTCCCCCCACCTTATTGTCGCTTATTTAAAACAATTGTGTAATAGGAGCACTTATTTGTAGACAAAGAAGTATTTTAATTAAAATAAATCTTGTGTAATTTAAATCATGTAACTATATGATTAAACTTTTTTCTTTTCTTTTTTTCTCTTTCTTTTTTATTTGATAGTTTTTTTTTATATAAACCCAAATTAACTTTAAGCTCTGTTCATAAAAATGAAGAAGACTTTAAAAAGCCAACACATAATTTACTAAATGTCTTCGAACAAATATGTAGATCTAAACGTTATGGATGGTTAATAAGGTATAAATAATTAAAATTATTTAAACCATAAAAAATCATTTGAACGTGTGTGGGGAAATTCTGATCAATAGCTTAAAAAATGACATAATTATTAAAATTGTTCTGTTCATAAAAATAAAAAAGACTTTAAAAAGCCAACACATAATTTATTAATGTCTTCTAACAAATATGTAGATCTAAACAATATGGATGGTTAATAAAGTATAAATAATTAAAATTATTTAAACCATAAAAAATCACTTGAACGTGTGTGGGGAAATTCTGATCAATAGCTTAAAGAATGACATATTTATTACAATTACACAGATAAAGAATAACACTGTTGAAAGGAACTGATAGAAAAGAACACCAGAATTAAGGATTTACTTGTATTTATAGCTTTTTTGAACTCTAACTCCACATCAAATCAGCGTTCTGATTGCAGGCAGATGCAGAAGAATGCTGCTTCAGATAAATGTGATTGCAATTCTTTTTCAACAACCATTCTTAATCGTACAACAATACCGATAAAGCATCCCCCTAATTTTGATGAAAATTCAAGGGGGGCGAATAAATGATACTGAAGAAAATGCTAGGTGTCATTTTAAAAAAACAACTGTTTGGTTGGGCATTATTAAGTATGATTCTCAAAATATAACTTAAAATAATTATAGCAAAAAAAAGTAAATATAAACTTCAATTAGTAAATTGTACTTACTTTCTACAGCAATTCTTTATTTTTAAATGTCGGTGCAATTGCGGAACATTAAAATAGGTGAAACATTTAAAATATGGACGACAAAATATTTCATGAAAAGAAAGATAATTTATTTAATTACGTTAATCAGAATCCGAAAATCCATCTAAAGAAATATCAGAGTCATGGTGTGAAAGAGTGAAAACTTAATTTAGGCATCATGCTTGCTGCAAATCTCAACGACTGATTCAATACGACATGCATGCATTCTCAATAATGACATGCAAAATGTTCAGTCTCCACCCCCAAAGTATTAAGATTTTTCTATTCTTGCCCCTTGGAACAATTCTTCAATTTTCTCATCTCTTCCATTCAATTCTACTCTCTTTCTATTTACATTTTTTTTCTTCCCTTGTTAGGACACTTCAAAAAGTGAGGCCCTTTCTTTTTTACTTAATCTCTCCCACCCTACCCTAAAATTCCCCCTTTCTTACCTACTAGTGTGCATACTATTCAGAAGTAAGTTCTGTTTTTTATGAAAATGAAAGGCGATTTTCTCACAGTGAATAAATATTTTATTAAATAATATATTGTCCCTAATTTTCATTCATCATGTGCATAAAGTTTTTGTTCTTTACTGATAAAATCTAATCCGGGTGATTTTTGACCTCCTTATTTGAAGTTAAGGTTTTAAGGTCTAAACAGAGAACGGAACAATTCTGTTGACAACCCATTTCTTGTCCCCAGTGATAAAGCGCTTCAAAAGTGTATAATTTTCTTTTTTGTTTGTGAAACAAATCACAGACGTCAATGCAAGTACACAAATTTCTTTCCGTAGCACATGAGAAACCCATATGTCGAGCTTCATGATGAAACTTTTCAGCTTTTAAAATTATCATGAACGGTTAAATTGGATAAATTGATTCTCTTAACAATCTCAGGAGTTGTTATTCACTGGTTTGTTTTTCAATCTTATGTTGAATATCCAAATAAAATATTCACCAAACCTTTATGTTAAGTTTTTCTCCCCTTCCTATTAATAACAAGCATTCACTCTTCCAAGTCAAACAACATTTAAATAATGAAATAATTATTTAATTTCTATTGAGGATTTCAATTCTTCATAAGACAGTTTGTGGAAATAATATTCACTTTTCCAAGACAAACAATATTTAAGATATGAAATAATTAATCTAATTTCCGATGGGGCTTAGCTGCTAACCTTTCCGCATTTTTAGTTATTTTTTCCGCTTTTACACTCAGAAAATAGCATTTTCCGTGTTTTTATCCATCCGCTGGATATCTCGTATTTTCGTAATTCAGACATCGCTGCTTCCTGTTTTCTGGCGTGTGAGCAAACTAAAAAAATAGAGGTGAATTTACGGTGAAAATATTTATTTGCTCATTCAATTAATCTTGTAAATTGTTATTTATTAAGTCTAAACAAAAACAATACAAACAAGCCTTTTAGAAATCCCAAGTCCAGACTCTGCAAATATCTCAATTATTTTCTCGCAATTTTAATATCGAACATCGATTTTCGTATTTACCTGATTTAAAAGTTTCACATTGCGATTCTTATTTACGCTATTTAAATATCGTACATTATGATTCTTATTTACAAGATTTAAAAATCCAATATCGCATTTGTATTTACGCGCTTTTAAACCTGTATGTAGCGATTCATATTCACGCAAGCTTAAAATCCAATTCAAATTAATCATCAGGATTTATAATGGCATGGTTTACAAGTTTGAAAATTTCACTTTTTTAGTCAAATTTGTGTGTACATATATATTCATGGATTTCCTCTTTTTCGCTTTCTGATTACTCTCATCCTTGCACATTGCATTTTTAAGTCTGTTACACTTACCAATGTTAATTCTGTCTAATGCTTCAAGTTATGAAGCTAGTAAAAAATATTTGGAAAAATAAAAGTGCATAGTTCAATGTTTTAATAAGATGCGTTTTCAAATATATCTGCTTATGAAAATTATACAGTTTGTATCCAAATGCTTAAATTACCTACCTTTCATGAAACAAGCATTTATACTGCTTTATTTGTTTCAGGAGGAAAAAGAAAATGCTTTGACAAAAAGCATTCGCTTAACAAGTGCCCTAATTCTAAGAAACTTAGTGACACACAGCTCATTAGCTAGAACGTAAGTATGAGTACTTTAACTGTTTGTATAAGTCCATACTTTTGAACACATTTAAATAAACAAGGAAAGAGCATTTGAAAAATAATAACAAAATATATCTATTTAATAACTGTTAATATTTCTGATTTCTTTTGATAACTTTTATTAACCATTATTTTCTTCTTCATTAAAAATAAAGATATTCTGGTATTTATTATTCGTTTATCACTTTGTTTTCGTGCTTTTATTTTTTCATAAATAAAGACACACTATATAAGGCTTTGTTTGGTGTAAAACACTAGTTCAGAATTGTAGGGTCATGCAGATTAAATGTTGGCAAGTGTGCTTTTGTTAGTTGATTATGATAAAAATTTACATAAACTGTGTAAAATTTGTTATGAATTATTACAAGAGATGAGTTCCAGCTCACTTTTTGAAGTCCAAAATGTTCAAACTTCTGCTTAGCTTCGCGTAATATCTGAGTTTTTTGTGCCTGAGTTCTAAGCCAAAACTTGCAAAACGAATTACCAAATGAGATATATTTTTGAGGTTATTTACAAATAAATATAATTCTTCTTAATTTTGTGGCAAAATAGCTATATGTATATACATACACTGAGTGGCCAAATTATTATGACCAGCCCTTCAATACACTGTTGGCCACCTTTAGCCCATAATACTGCTCAAATTCTTCTAGGCATAGATTCTATGAGATGCTGGTAGGTGGTATGAGGAAGTTAACCCCATATCCAATGAACTGCATTTTTCAGTTCTATGAGATTGGATCCAGCTGTCAGATGCCCCCTTTGATTCTATCCCACAAATTCTCAATTGGTTTGAGATCTGGTGATTGTGCAAGCCAATGAGGCAAGGTAAAGTCACCGTCATGTTTTTTTTTAACCATCTGACGACAATATGAGCTGTATGGCGTTGCTTGCTGAAAGTATCCATGTCCAGAAAAGTACACCATTAACATAACAGGTTGTACTTGATCTACGATAACACTTAAATACCCTTGGGCATCCAGACGTTGTTCCACAGGAATCAAAGGACCCATGTAATGCCAAGAAAACATCCCCCAATCCATAACATTGCCTCCGTTAGCTTGAAGTGTTGAGGCAATGCAGTTGGGATCCGTGTTTTTGTGCTGTTTTCGCCATATTTGAACCTTGCCATCTGCGTGATTACATACATTTTATAAATAAGTAATCTTATATATATAAATTTATATAATATTAGAAAATTAGTATAATAAATAAATCGCTTTAAGTTTTTTGAATATAAAACCATTAGCAATTAAAGTGTGTCTCAAAGTTTATGCAAGATTTGAATTAAATTGAAAACACAATTTTTTTATATACACGGGTGTGCAAAACTTAAGCAACTAGTGGTTTTTTGGCCACAGCTCCCCAACAAAGTATAAGATAGCCATGAAATTGCAGTATAATATGCACGTAATTCAGTAGAAAGATTATTTGTATGCAAATTTTAGAAATAAAGCGTCATAGATGATTTAAGCGTACCTAAACCTTGTGAGTCAGCGCGCACAGGTCAAAATTGTGATAAAAGGAGGAAGAGCACCATAGTTAAGGACATTAACTGCAAGTGATTTGCTTTGTGAAACATGTTTTCAAGAAATCATTTAGACGACTTTACTCGAGGAAGAATGATTGGGAAGCTTGAGGAGGGGCGTAGTGTGACCAGTGTCGCCGAAGAGTTCGGGATCAACAAAAGTGTTGTTTCTCGTGCTTGGAATGCCTTTAAAACTACTGGTACAGCTGTTCGGAAGGTTGGTGGTGGCCGTCCAAGGAAAACAACACCAAGAGATGACCGTTACATTGTCCTCCAGGCGAAAAGAAACCGTTTTCAGTCAGCGAGCGCCATATCTCAGCAACTGTGCACAGCCACAGGACGACAAGTATCAAGATTTACAGTGGCCAGACGCCTCCACAAAGGTGACTTATTTGCTAGACGTCCTGAACGCTGCATACCTTTAAAAGTTAGCCATCGGCGGCACCGTTTAGAGTGGTGCAGAGAACACGAAACCTCGACACCTCATCAATGAAGCCGCGTCCTCTTCACAGATGAGAGTCGTTTTATTGCTACAAGCGATTCTCAACATCAGTTGATCTGGAGAGAGGTTGGAGATCGTTACGGTGGTCCTGGAGTTGTCGTCTGGGGTGGCATTATGTTGAACGGGCGGACTGAGCTTCAGATCTTCGACCGAGGTTCAGTAACTAGAGACCGCTACTGCAATGAGGTAATCCTACCCCACGTGCGTCTGTTCCGAGGGGCGATTGGACCATACTTCATTTTTATGGATGACAATGCCCGGCCACACTGCACTACTAATGTTCAAGAGCTACTGGAAAGTGAAGATATCACAGGAATGGATTGGCCAGCTTACTCTCCAGATCTAAGTCCCATAGAGCAAGTGTGGGATGCATTAGGGAGACGTCTTGCAACACGACAGTATCCTCCTGGTAACACCCATCAACTGAAAGATGCGTTAAAGGTGGAATAGAGATGTTTACCCCAAGAACTCCTGGATAATGTGGTGCTTAGCATGGAGAAACGATGCCAATCAACAATTACAGTAAGGAGAGGGCATATCTCCTACTAGGGAACATCTGCCAGTTGTACTTACGCTTCTTCAGGCAATCATGTGTAACGCCACTATATGTCAAATAAAGCCTTTTTTTTTGTTCCATACCCTACTTTAAGCTTTATATTCATTTCAGGGGGATGTAACATAAAAAGCTTCTGTTAATCTTTTTATGTTATCCTAATTAATTATTCTAATCGAAATACTTTCTCACACTTTTAAAAGCAACATCCTGTTCTTAAATCTATTTTTTGCTCAAGTATGCATTATATTAGAGCAGGACATTTTTCCCTTTGCTCTGTGTGGGAAGCACTCGATCTATTTCATAAACCAATATCAACTACTAACAGTTCCCTCTTTCCCTAAATTAAGACATTTTACGGATTTTACTTTGCAAGATTTTCCCTAAGATATAACCAAGGAGCGCAACTTTTCATGTTCACCTTTTACACACTCTCATGACTGCTTTTGTCTAATAATTAATAAATAAATTTTGTACCCTCCTTCCCGACCTAAGGCCTGTTTTAATCCTTCCACTCAGCAACGACATTATAAGTCGCCAGGATTGAACAATCGGTACTATGCACAGATGTACTATGCAGTACTGCAGTTCATGTGCTGCATCGCCGTCCAAACCGGATGTAGTGACAGGGTGCGTAGCGTTTGTAAAAAGTACTTAAAGGTGCTTTTTTGGGGATTTTGTTTTTAAAAGCTTTTAAAGGTGCTTTTTTCAGCTGGCGTTTTTAAAAAGTACTTTTTTTTCCGAATAATTTTTTTTCTTCCCTTCAGTGATATCTGGTGGATCCCATGCATTTCACGAAAAATGGGGAGTTTGCTACGTAATCATTCACGCGGACTTCATGTCGTACCCACGTTATGACTAGCGCATGCGCGCTCACTTCAAACCGAAACCCGAGTGCTCCAATTCGGATAGAGAATATCAGATCCTTATGAAATGTTTTTCTTTTTAATTTATTTAAATTTTATTCTTATTTATTTTATTTTATTTTACTTCTAACACTTTTTTTGACGTAGGGGGTAAGGGTACTTTTGTTCTGAGCTCAGGGTCAAGTTGAATTCACTCAGTGATGTGGGAAAGTACTGAATGCTTCGATTTACGCCCGTTTCTTTTCTTTCTTTTTTTTTTAATGCTAAAACTGTTTATAAAAAGTTTTTGTTTTTCAATAATATCATTGATTGAATATGAATTTTTGAGTGCTTGAAAAGTTTTGTAAAGTGCTTGAAAAGTTTTTAAAAAGTGCTTATTTTTGATTCAAAGATTTGGCTACGCACCCTGAGTGAGAATGCTGCTGTGAGCTGCTTATTCAGGGAATCGTTTTTTTTTTCTCCGATAACAAACTTAGTTATTTACCTACTGTTCAAAAAAAAACAGTTTAAAAAAGTACAGTTCAAAAATATAGCGGGTGATACATTTGCTATCCTATGCATTCTGCATAGCAATGCAGAGCCCAAGAGAATTTTCTCTAAAGCTAAAAAAATTTAGCTATGAATTACCCTCATTACTTTCTGATGAAAAGTTTGATTTTTTAAAGTTGAGAAAATTAGCTTGCTAGCTTTTCTCTGGTAACTGTTATGAATCGAACTCATTTTTAAAAAAATTCTTATGCAAAGCCAAATCAGCTACTTAAGTTCGTAATAAGAATATGTAAAAATTCTGTAAACTAAAGCTAATTGCTTAGGATTATGAACAATGCTTTTGAAAGGTCTTCTCTGGTTTAAGATTTATTTAGATATTTTTTACTTCGCTTACCTTATTTCAAATTTTGAATTTCTCTTTTTGACTTGCATGGTGCATCAAAACTATACACATAGCCCAAAAAATTTCACTAGTAAAATCTCCATTCTTTTGTTTCCCCAATGTTGGCAGGTATGGCCTTGGCCTACTCGGGGCTGTTGTGCCAAATATAAATGATATTATGATCCTGAAAATGCTATCTTAATAGTTAGAGAGACTAACCTTAGTAACACTTTATTTACGTCATACTAAAGCTGCACAAGGGACATTTGAATATTCTGATACAGAAATTTTTACTTCATTTTAATGTAAGTAATAATTTTAAATAATGAAATCCAAAACTTAAAAAAAAAAAAAAAAATTCTAATAAATTTTGGGAAATAGTTAACAATACAAAAAAATTTCATCATTATTATTTAACTATACGTTAAAAAATGATTTATTCTCAAGAAATATATTTTTTGCAAAAAGATTTTTTGATTTGCTTGATGATTCTAGGGAAATATGAAGTGAAGTTTAGATTTGTGTGACTTTATTTTTATAATTGTTGCAACCTTCCATAATTTAAAGAAATAAAAAAAAAATTGTTTCCTTAGAAAAAGTATGTTCTTTTGCCTGGTTTTTAATATCTACACAAATCAATTTAATTTGTGATATTCTACTTATTAGATCAAAAGTTACACAGGGAAAACTAGTTTTAAATTAAATAATTTTTTTTTTTTTGTATGATTGATAATTTAAGACTTCATATTTGAGTTATCTGTAAAAGTATGTTTTTGTTCCTGAGTTCATAATTGAAAATATCATCTGCACTAATCAACTAGCTTATTCAGTCCTTCAAAAATTAGGGAAAATCCCTATCAAAAAATATTCTGAGTAATACTTTTCTGCATTTTGTTTGAAATATATTTTTTAATAATTTATTTATAATTTTCTTTTTAGATATGTCAGAAGGTTTGAACCAGAATTAGCTTATTTAGCCATGTCGCCTGTTGAATCAGCAAGAACAATAGCACAGTGCCTCTCCCAATTATCTAGGCCTCATGACTAAAGGATAGACTTATTACCTTTCACATATTGTGCCATGCAATATCTTCTTCTTTTCAATGAATTGAAAAATTATGTATTGTTACCATGTTAAAAACAGTCTTTCCAGGAGCATTGTGTTCCATGCTTTCATATCATAACATTTTATTACATTGAAAGGAAGCATCACTTGAGAATTTAAAGTTATGTCATTGTATTTATAACTCACTGTGTTGCATACAAGGCTTTCCTATATTTTAAGTTGATATGCCTGTGGGCTTTAAAAAAATTTTATAGACAAGTTTTTTATTGTTGATAATGAAAGATGTACCAAATCAAATTTGCTGAAGTAAAAGAATGTATGAAAGCATTAAAAAATGTGTTCAGGACCAAAATTTTATGCACATCTGCAACATAGTTGTTGATTGAAATGCATTTTTAGCAAAATTTTATTATATTGAAAGTATTTATTTTAATATTAATTTTTCATGAATTACTTCCACACCCATTGAATATACTCATTTCATTGATTGTATTAAAATCATAAATCATTTAAATAGTTGGCATTCCATAATATCCATGTTTCAGTATTTGTTTTACTTGTAATTATTTTCTTGTATTTATTTAAGTTTGAAGATTCATTTGATTAGGCAGATCAGTCAGCCTTTATATTTTCTTTTTCATCGAGACACAAACCTGACTCTTTCAGTGGGCTTTCACAACAGATAACTGTATCACTTGTTCATTCGAACATTTTATGATTGTCATTTTCTATGGACCTGAAGAAGAGCAGCTAAAATTGTTTTAATGTGTAAAAATTAATTAAAAAATAATAATAACTTAGTTGTTTGATCATGTTTCATTTCTTATTGCAAGGATATCTTTTGAAGTTATCTTTTTGTATGACTTCTTATTTACTGAAAAATATTTATAAAGCTTATTGAAATACTCTGTTAAGTTTATTTATGGCATGTCTAAATGAAAAGTGTCTCACAGTTAATTTTAAACCAGATGAATTTTATGTTTATTTAATAAAACAAAAACATCATTAAATAAAATCTTTTGTTGAGGTCAGGGTGTCCCCCATGGCTTTCTACTTCTGATAAATTAAAAAATATGGGCAAAATTTTTGCTGTTCAAAAGTCTCAAACTTAAAAATTTCATTCAAAAATTTATTTATGGCTAAACCTAGCATCTTCCTTTTTAAAATAAAGGTTTCTTCAAAATGGGTTTAACAGTGCGCACCTCCTGTATGCCCTTTTAATGAGAAAATTCTACCTCATTATTCTTTTTTTTTCTCACCCTGGTATAATAAAATGCGCCTTGACGTGCCCACTCCAGAAAGATCATGCCAATTGGTCTACTGTGTAAGAAAGAATTTCATTTTTTGGTTCCTTTTCCCCCTACTTAGTCATGCTTTTCTTGAAATCAACTTGTCCTCCTTCTTCTACAGTTATGTGTAAAAGGGAGCCCAGAAGCACTCCCCCTCCCTCCGTTTCTATATTTCCTCCTAAAGTTTAAGGAAAGAACTACCACCCTCTAACAATAAAAGGACCTTTCCATTGTTAGAGGGTGTGGAGATCTTCAGAGAAGCTCCTTGTGTCATGGAATGCGACCCCTCTGGAAATAGCAGCTATGTGGGTTCCCATTTTCTCCTTTTCGAAATGTTTTTTTAGAAATAGAGGTATTGCTTATTTTGAGAAACCATGTTACAATAGCAGGGTGGCCACCCACCTGGAATACCTGGAATTATCAGGAAATTTTTTATACTGGAAAAATCAGGGAGATATGGTTAAAAACCTGGAAATTTTAAAGAAAACCTGGAAATTTTTTCTTATATATTTTTTTATTCACTAATTTAAATTATTTGCTAATAATTTTCTTAATTTAAATTGTTTCATCCATTACACCCACATTTTTTAGACTGAAATGTATCTCCAAACAGTTAAAATATCAACTTACTTTGCTTTCGTCAAAATTTGCTCCATTATAACCCTATTAAACTAGAATAAAACATAAAATTCTCCCATGCAAATGTAGAAACCTTTGATCTCTATGCAGACTGTGCAATTTAGGAAAGGCAAAGATTATGGTGGATGTGGAAGACGGGGTTAGGATTCGGTTTTTAAATTCTGTCCGTGTTCACACTATGATTCAAATTTGTTCGCAATTGAGAGTGGTAATTTTTTTCTATTTTGACAAAATGTTTTTGTATTTTTTACTTTATTAAATTCTCTAAAAATTAGTTGGTTATAATTTAATAATAATAGATTTTATATTGCACTCTTTTTCTGAAAGCTTTTCAACTCCCATTCAAAGAAATCCGTAAATTATTTTTCTCAGCAAACCAACCAATCGCGCATTTTCCCCCATCACTAACAGCAGTGTTTGTCGACAAATTGTTACAATTCTTGCATTAATGCTAATTTTTTCTATTTCATTTTAACCTTCTACAGTATAGTTTTATTTTGAAAAAAGTTTTTTTTTAGAACTAACTATACATTAATATCGAATTTTACGGTTTTGTTGGTAAATATTAGTTTTTTGATTCAAAATTCGAATTGTATAGTTATCACAATATCGAAAGTTCGTAAATGTTGCTTGCATTCCAGAGATGATATTTCAAAGCCAGGGGTCTGTACAGGCCAAATTTACTACCGTTTAGCGGTACCTTCACAAATTCAACTTCAGGAAAAATGGTAGTTTCACAAATTCAATTTTAGGAAAAACGGTAGTTTCACAAAATACTTTTTCTTATAATTTTATTTTTGTATCCCTTAAGAAACGATAAATCCATATTTTTGTGTTGATTTCTTAATATAATTTTTAATTTTTCACAAATTATGTCTAAATTTTCACAAAATAGGTACCTGTCAGAAAAACCTAGACAGACCCCTGATAACCTTTTTACATCANTTAGAAATTTGACTTGAGATATTGGTTTTAAAAAAATATGATCAATGAATTTTATGAAAAGCACTGGTAAGAAAAAATGCAGTATACAGTACAACTTTATATTGAAATGTAATTAGTGTGACTCACACATGTGTTCGTACACTTGTGACTCAATGAAATAAGACTATCCATTAATTAAATTGGATATTTAATTATAAAAAATTTATTCTAATCTTAACAAAACTGTAGGAAATATTTTAAAAACAAAGGAAGAGTTTATTTTTTAGAAATCAATCACCAAAAAGTGACAAAAACTTTATTCCGCTGAAGTCATCGTACACTTTTAAAGTAAATTATCTAATTTTTCATTAAATTACCATTTAGTAGAGTTTCCTTTTGCATCTACAATGGCTTTTATAAGTTTTTAAATACATGTAACTAGTTTTTTTTTTGTCAGGGAAAATTCGTGCAGAATATTTTTTTAAAAATTTTACATCACTCAATTGCGAATTTATGAATTTTCCACAAATTTTATAATTTTAATCTCTGATATGAAGTTCTTTTAAGCATTTTATCACATATTGCACAGTGCAATAGGATACAATAAACTAATTTAACATATTTATTACTAATTTACCTCTTATGATGAAAAATAGTCAAATTTAGTCTATTGTTTTATTACGACCACAAGCCGTTTTTAAATGATAAAATAAAATATTACGAAATTAGCAAGCAAAAATTAAAATATAATTTTGTTTCTCAAGTTTGATACTAAATTGCAAATAAAAAATTAAAGCAATTGACAATAATTTTTATTCTGAAATCCGAAAACATTTAACTGTACAATGACTTGCATTGTGTAAAATTTTTGTTACTATTTGATTATTGATATCTTAAAAATTAACTTTTGCTTTGTTTTTGAAATATTCTATGCAGTTTTGCTAAGAATCATTTATGCATCTTATTTTCAAATATTCATTTTAATTAATGAATTTTTATTTCCTATTTCAATAAAAGTTATAATTGAACAAACACTTTTGGGAGCCACTGTAATTATAAAAATTGATATATGAACCTGAAACGGTTTTCTTTTGCTTAATGAAAAGATGTTAAACAATACTTATCAGAGTTTTATTGGTCACTCTGTTTTTGTCATTTTGTAGGTACACTTTGAGCAAATACTACTTAAAGTAACACATTAAATTCAATAAAAACAATTAAAATTATTCAATAAAAACAATATATTCTGCAAGCTAAACATATTATTTTCTCCACGTCTTAATTTTTTAAAAATTAATGTTGTACCAGAACATTAAAAAATAATGAAAAAATATCTTGTAAGAAAATAAAATTTTTTTCAAGATATGTTTAAAAAAATTACATTTTGAATAAGATATTTTATAATACAGACACTTTTCTTGTACACATCCTACACTTTATAAGAAAAAAGGAAAAAAACACAAACCTGGAAATTTTTGCCTGGAAAAATCAGGGAAATTTGAAATCTGTTTTGAGTGGCCACCCTGAATAGGGAGAGTCAGTTTTTCTTCAAAGAATTTCTTATGGGAAGAAATCTTGTTCACAAAACCTGTCTACTTTTTTTAGGGGTCAGACTAGATCTTTGAATTAACAAATGCAACCTCATCATCTGAAGCCCTACCACCTCTCTTATGTTTGACTTTAAAATATCACTTTGCCTGTGAAGAGAACTGAATTCATTATCCGCATGCCACCAACAATATATATCTTCTCCGAGTTCTATCCCAGCATGCTGGTGACACTACCCTGTGTCGTTAGCTGAAAGCATATCAATGAAACAAGAGGGTTCATATCGATAAGAAATCTGTTTTTTTCTTTCAGCTATACACGTGTTCATAATAGAAAAGATTAAATTATTTACGAAAAGATTAATAAGCATCCATAGGAAAGTGGTTTGGATAACCAACTACTCTCCCATGGATACTTTTTAGTTTGCACAGGAACAATCGCTACTCTACAAAAATGTAAACTCGTACTAACTAATCAATAAATTCATTAAAAAAAAATTCACTGAAGTTTTTATTTATAATTTCAGGTAATAATGTTAATTTATTTTTACTTACTAAAACTAAAGCAAAATTTCTTAATATTGAAACCTTTTGTTAATTTAGATTCACTAATTTTAAATTAATACTCATAATTAAATTGATATTAGTTTTGGTACATAATTATGCTTAATTATTTTCATTTATATATTTTTTTCGTAAGTTTAAAACTAAATTTATATATATTTTTTCTATTTCTTGCATTCGTCTCGCAATGGACTGATTGTAAAGACACAGTTCCCAGTAGAACACCGAAATCAAGCATCACTAATTGCTTGGTCAGTAAGCAGGTGGGTGACCACCTTGATCAGCCTGCATAGGTCATCGGGCTACCTAAGCAAGGGATTCATCCCCTCTGCAGAGGATCAAAATTGCGATGGCATGTCTTCAGATCATCGTCAATAGCCCATTGTGCAGCTCTAGTACGACGTAAATAAAATACCTATTTCTTACATTCACTCATAGATTGGGTCATCAGAGAATATTGTCAAACACGATTTCTCGAAGCGTTATATAACTCACTAATGGATAACCCCCGTTGCCACCGTTAAATATTTATTGGTCATTCAAGTCCCCCCCCCCACTACAAAAAATTCTAGAATAAATCCATTGGGCAGAAATAAACAGTGATGGATCTTTTTTCTATCTCGTCACTCATCAAAACACATAGTCCTTAACATCACTCCGCCCCCCCCCCATCACTTCGTGTCTCAGGAGAAGAGGGATGGTTGCCCACAAATTGCTAATATATTTATTTTACTCATCAATGTAATTGCGCAATAAATTATTTAATTAATAGATTGATTAGTAATTATATACTAATGGTGTTATAGATTCATACACATATAACACATGACGTAATAATCAATATTTTTGCATGTTTCTATTGTTTTATCATCTAATTAAATAATGCAAAAAGAATAAATCCAAAAAAAAAGAATAGTTTAACTTAAGAAAATAGAAATTTAAAAAAACATGTTTTTCAGCTCTTTTCAAAATGTGTCGGGTATCCCCGCCCAGTTATAAAAATTATGTTTTTTTGATTGTTTTTTCAGGTGTAAAGAAAATGACCAATGTATTGACAATAGATAAACCACATTTATTATTTTTATCACAAAATTATTTTATTTATTACATATTTATGCAACATGGTAAACTATTGTTTACCATGTTACCAGCTGCATAAATACCTAAAAATTTGAAAATAATCTTTTTTTAATATAACAATGTCCGATGGCCCATTGACTTCAAAAAATATTCTATACATATGAAATTGACAGTGGGCGGAGATACCTGACACTCCCCTAGTTCTTAATATAGGAATTGTCAACAAAGTAGTAGAGTTTCGTTACTACTGTGATGGCAACACTTAGATAAGTGTTGCCATCACAAAGCAGTAAAACGTAAATTATTCAGTGTTGCCGCCACCAAAAACTAATATTAAAAGAAAACTGAGGTAGGCAGAAATCAGCTGACTTCCGGTTTGCGCCATATTTTCGTTTTCCACCCAGGAAGAAATAAGTAGTAGCAGGGATTATTGTTGTGGCGGAGTGACATCACTTCCCCTTCACCTATACCCCTGCTTACTATTAATAGATAATTGAATTTTTGATTCGAATCATGTGCTTCGCAATTAAGTCATGTTATTCGAATCAGTGATCCAAATTACACGATTCGAAATTAGGTCTGAAACACTTCATTCGAATCACTCATCTGGTTAAATTTGAAGCATTTCTTTCGAATCCTTGATCCGCATCGTATGCTTCGAATTAGTGATTTGATTTACTTCATTCGAATCATTGGTTCGTATCATATGATTCGAATCGCATAATTTAAATCAGTGATCCAAATCGCATGATTAGAAGCCAAATCACTTCGGTCGATTCACATGATTCGAATAACTTGATTTAAATCATTGATCCAAATCATATGAATTACATCAATGATTCGAATCACTTGATTCAAATTATTGAACCGAATAACTTCATTTGAATCACTAATTCAAATCGTTGATCCTAATCATTTCATCCCAATCGCATGATTTAAATCAGCGATCTGAAACACTTCATTTGGATCATTGAATGGAATCGCATTTCTGAAACACGTGATTTGAATTAGTGATTCAATTTATTGTTCCAAATTTGTAATTCGAATCAAAGAACTGAATCTTTTGATTCAATGTACTTAGGCGTACTAAACCCAAAATTGCGTTTAGTGTCAGTAACTCTTGGGAGTCAGTATCTAATTTTATTTGTTGATACGCTAGTGAGAAATCTAATTTACTTAAGTACTTACCACCACTCAACGTAGCAAAAATATCTTGTTGAGTGGGCAGAGGATACTGGTTCGGATCAAGGAACTTCACCGTTATCTTGAAATCATCACATAATCTTACAGCATTATTCTTTTTGGGTACCACTACTACTGGTGTAGCCCACTTAGAATGTTCGACAATTTTCCACATGTTATTATCTACTAATTTTTTCACTTCATCAGAAACAAAATTTTTTAAACCATACGGTACAGGCCTGGCCTTGCAGAAGACAGGTTGGCAGTTTTCTTTCATTTTCAGAACTGCTTTAAAAAATTTTATTGGTTGATCACTAACTTGAAACCCTTCAGTGCATTTTTTATTGAGTGTTTCAACACTGTTCAGACGCTTGGAAGATACAGAAATATTTCATTCCAGATCAATTTGAATATTCCCAAACAAAGCTGGGCGATTCCCTTTTACAATAATTAAAGGTAATTCGTGATACTGATTGTTGCACTGCACTTTAGCGATGATTTCTCCAACCACTGGGATCTCTCGCTCATTATAGTCTTATAATTTAGTTGATGATAGAGCCACCTCAGATTTGGGTAAATTGTCCCTTATCCACACTTCTGATACTATGGAGACATCAGCTGCAGTGTCAAGCTCCATCTCCAGTTGTTTACCATTTACAAAGACCGTAATAGTGTATTTCTTTTTCCCAGACACTTGTTTAATGGACGCAACAACATACAATAAGGCTTCTGATTCACAGTCAACTATTTCAATCTTTTTAGTAAATGAGTCTTTGTTTTTACTCATGTAGACAGGTGAAATGTGACCGCTTTTCCCACAGGAACGGCATTTAGCTTATTTAGATTTACACTTGGTAGGATCGTGGACTGTTCTTTTTACACTGCGCACTTGAAGAAACATTTTCAGAATAAGTATGTTTACTTCTTTTCTGATCTGTAAAGCTTTGCTGCACTTTGTTTACAGCAGGTGTGAATGTCTTCATGTGAATGTCTTCATATTAACTGCATCACTTTCAACTATTTCAATAGCAGTAGCTATTTACATGGCATAATTTAATTTCAGGTCCTTTTAAGCTAAAAGTCTTTTTTGAATGTTTTCGTTGCACAGTCCACATACGAAGCGATCTCGCAATGCTTCATCAAGAAACGCACTAAAATCACATGTTGAAGCCAGTCTTCCAGGTACTGAGAAACAGATTCTCCTACTGTTTGATTTCGCTTGTGAAATCGAAAACGTTCAGCAATGATGATTGGAGCAGGTTTAAAATGCAGTGTTATGCTCCAGCTCTTAATACGAGCCTTCACTCGGCAGCTTCGGGAACAGCAGGTTCCGTAGAAGTTTGCAGGTGTGAGATCCAATTGCTGAGATAAACAATAAATACTCTTTAGTTCTCTTCCACATCGCTTGCAAGAAAAAATGTTCTAATTGTTCAATATATAAGTTGAAGTCATCCCTTTTCCCATCAAAGAAATGTAACGTGAAAATTTGGCCTAACTTACTCATGTCGACATAACATAAGTTCCAATAAAAAGCGTCGCAAGTTCAAATAGTAATTTTTAACGTCAGTCAAGGGCGCCGGCAAGGGAGTGCAAGGAGGTGCACTTGCACCCCCTGGCTTTTTTTTTAAGCAATTAAAGAGATACGGAAAAACAATTTCGTTATAAAATTTTTTATTAAAAATATTTTTATTCAAAGTCAAATAATTAAGTAATTATTGATACATAAACAATTAAAGAATTGTTAAATCAAACAAGAATTATAATCGTCTTGTTTGCTGTCCAAATCTGTTTATAACGTTTTCAATAAATTCTGAGTCATCTTTGATTCTTTTTTAATGCACACTGAGCATGCACAAATTACTTAATCTCTCGTGAGACATTGTAGATTTATTCCATATTTTGATGCTTCGCATTGTACTAAAAGTGCGTTCAATAGTGCACGTAATAGCTGGAAGAGTTAGGCCAATTTTGATTGCCTCCTCTACAGCTGGATAAAACGGTGTGGCCTAAATCTATGTATTCGAGGGATTCGTAAGAATTTTCTCTATTCCTCCACATTTCATACCACGTTGTAGCTTCAGTGATGAAATTCGATGAGAGCAGATCTTTATACATAATATATATATCTTCTAAAACTGCAGGATGTGACGCTTTCTCCAGTTTTTTCATTGCATTCGGGTAAAGCTGTAAGAGTGAAAATGCTTTTCTTTGTGTAGAATAAAAATGGTCTTTCAAAGAAGATATAATGGAGTCCAAATAAGGAATAAAGATTGATCTCCTAAAAAATTCTTCTGCGTTTTCAGAAGGTCTAGATGTCACTCGAGGTCGATTCATTTCAATGCCTAATTCTTCGCAAATGTGTTCTGCTTTCGTGAAAATTGCAGTAAACTCTTCAGAAGCATTGTTTTGATAAATTTGCTGCACCTCTATCAATTTGACTACATAATCAGCTACTTCTTTGAGATCTGTGTTTATTTTGATGAAACATTAAAATATTTCATCATTGTAACATGAAAATATTTCAAAGTCCAAAAAACTTCAACATTTTTCTAAGTACAAAGAAATTCAAAAGTTTTCTAAGTTCAAACAACTTCGAAGGTGAAAAATATTGCTATGTGGTAATAGAAAATATTGACATCGAATTTCCTCATTTTAACGCTAGTAAGGACACTATTGTATATTTACATACATAGTAGCCTATAGGGTCGTATTGTAGGCCCCCTGTTAGGCCCATAATTATATCCTCTGGAAGAATACACTAGTAACCGGTAATTTAATGCCTGGTCCAACACGATTATTATGGGTCAATATTAAGAGGAAATATAGGATCTTGTTGTAAGACAGAATATTGATATCGAATTTTCTAATTTTAACGCTAATAAAGACATTATCATAATATACATTCAAAGTCGAAAAAGTATGAAAATGTGACTAAGTCTAAAATACTTCATAATGTTTCTAAGAGCAAAAAACATCACAATTTTTCAAAGTTAGAAGCGTTTGAAAATATTGCTAAGTCTAAACTGCCTCAATATATTTCTAAGTTCAAACAAATTCAGAATATTTCAAAGTTTAAACAACAAGAAAATATTTCAAAATCGAAAAAACTTCATAATTTTTCAGAGTAAAAGCAGTTTTAAAATATTGCTAAGTCTAAATTGCCTCAATATATTTCTAAGTATCTCTCAATATATTCACTAATAACATATTTCTATATTAAGTTCTAACAAGTTTAGAATATTTCACAGTTCAAACAAAATGAAAATATTTCAAAGTCCAAAAAACTTCAAAATTTTTCAAAATACATAGAAATTCAAAGTTTTTCTAAGTTCAAACAACTTCGAATGTGAAAAATATTGCTATGTGGTAATAGAGAAAATTGACATCAAATTTCCTCATTTTAATGTTTGTAAAGACGACGCTATGATATATAAACATACATAGTAACCTATAGAGTCGTATTGTGGGCCTCCTATAAGGCCTGTAATTATATCCTCCGGTAGGGTACAGTAGCAACCGGTAATCTAATACCTGATCCAATACGAATATTAGGGGTCAATATTAAGAGGAAATATAGAACCATGTTGTAAAAAAGAATATTGACATCGAATTTCCTCATTTCAACGCTAGTAAAGACATTATTGTATATATATATATATATATATATATATATATATTCGTATAATGTATTTGTTTTATCGGAATCTTCCATAAAAAATGGAACCATATCTATCAGCAACTGAAATGTCGATAAACTAATACCCCTGCTTCGTTTTCTAATAACCATTTAATTTCTAGCAAATCCTTTTTTCATACAATAACTTTAAACTACCAAGGATTGCCAAATATTTTGATAACATATTCATATTTATAAGTATTGTGAGTACATTTCTTACAATAAAGATTTTAAATTTGAAGAAATTTTAAATGAGCATGCCGAAAATATTTGTATGCCATTTACTACGCTCAACGATTTGTTTTCAATTTATACAACAGACATTCAATACTTTTACAAGTAGTGAAGAATCGACTAATATTAAGTTAATCATGATAGATTAAATTAGATTGTAAATACGTATTTTAATCAGAAATTATACAGCAAATTTTTTATAAAATCAATGTTAGACTTATTTTAATTAGTTATAACTTTTAAAGTCTCTTATCATTTCGAAGCTGATTAATCTA